GCTTGAGCCCAGGAGTTGGAGGTTGCTGTGAGCTGTAATGCCACGGCACTCTACCCAGGGGGACAGCTTGAGGCTCTGTCTCAAAAACAAACAAACAAACAAACAATTCTTCCCTAACTCCCTACCGTATAGTGAAATCTCAGCTAAATTCAGTTCCCTCAGACTGTAGGTGATTACAGAGCAGGGATCAGTCTGAAGTGTACCACTGAGCTCCAAAGGGTAATTCTTCAGTCAACACCACCAGCAAACGTCTCTGCTGCTTCATGTTAACAAATGTTGACTGACTCCAGTTTTGTGCCAGGTATTGTTATAACTGGCTGAGATACAGAACTGAGCTGACAGATCAGCTAGGAGCCCCTGGGGAGCCTGTATCCCCTGCAGGGATGGGAGGGCCAACAAGAAGCAAAGAGACAATCATTTTCGAGTGAAGGTGACATCGGGCAGAGCCATGTGGTGACAGGACCTGAGGCTGAGAGTGTGAACTGGCCAGGCTGTGGAAGTGGGGACCTGCATGGAGAGGGGCCCCCATAAGGACATCCAGAACAGACACTGCAGGCGGGAAGCATGTTCCCCAGGCCAGAAGAGCAGCTCAGTGAGGAAGGGGCACAGTGGCAAAGGAGTGTCCAGGGGACCAGGGGAGAGAAGCAGGCCACGGAGGACCCAGGGTTTATTCTGAATCCATGGAGACGCACTGGAGGGTCTCAGGCTGGACTCTGCGTGTGCTGATGTGAGACCTGATGTCAACTGCTGATACGGAAAAGGCCATGGAGAATCTGAGAAGAAAGTGGTTTTCACCACTTAAGTATCAATAATTGCACTGCAAAGCAAGCTGTTTAGGCTACAGTTGGGATTGCTATCAACTAGTGGTTTCCTGATCTATTCATAACTTGTCTGGGGCCTTGTGTTGGCAAAGGAACCCCGAGGCTGTTCCTCACACTGTCTCTTGGTAATTAAAAAAAAAAAAATTGAGGTTAAGCCCTGTGGCTCACGCCTATAATCCCTCCAACTCTGGCAGGCCAAGGCGAGTGGACTGCTTGAGCTGAGGATATCAAGACCAACTTCAGCAAGAGTGAGACCCCCATCTCTACTAAAAAATGGAAAAATCAGCTGCGTGTTGTGGCGGGTGTCTGTAGTCCCAGCTATTCAGAGGCTGAGGCAGGAGGGTTGCTTCAACCCAAGAGTTTGAGGTTGCCCTGAGTTCTGATGATGCCTTGGCAATCTAGACTGGGTGACAGAGTAAGACTCTGTCTCAAACATAAATAAATAAAAATTGAAGTAATCCCTCCAGTTTAGAAGTAGATGGATTGACAGCTTATCCTGTTTGATTGAGTGGTTCCATTTGTAAGATTCAGTTCTAAGGAAAGAACAGAAATGGTCCCTTGGAGGCCCACTATACAATGGTATTTATAAGGTGGAATAACTTGGAGGTGTTAAGTATATGACACAGGAACCATGTCTTCAAGTAGTAATGGGGAGAAGATGCATGTTCAGGATGACCTCACATTTGTAAATAACAGAAAACATATGGGGTTAAAATACCTTGAGACGCCTCAGCCTTCATAGCTGAAAAGTGAAATTATCAATGCATCAATGTACAAAGTTATGATTTAGTAAAAAATAATTATAAAAAAAGAATGGAGGAAAAAGTATTAAAAAAAAAAAAAAAAGATGGTGCTGAGAATGAAGAAGGAAGCTCCTGCCCCTCCCAAAGCCAAAGCCAAAACAAAGGCAATGAAGGCCAAGAAGGCAGTGCTAAAAGGCATCCAAAAAAAAAAAAAAAAAAAAAAGAAAAGTGAAAATATTGGCGATTTGATTTTCTTGCAAATATATATTTATTTTTAATTTTTTTTTTAGACAGGGTCTCACTGTCGCTTGGGCTGGAATGTAAAATGGCCCGCATTGTTAAATGTCACTGTGGCCTTGAACTCCTGCGTTAGTTCTCCCACCTGGGCCTCCCAAAGTGCTGGGATTATAGGCATTGGGCTGCTTCTTTCAATTTTTCAGCACTTTCCCCAGATTCTAAAATGTCAGTGTATACTTCCATAATTAAAATGTAACTAAAATCTACCCTGTAGGACATTATGCTTAAATGAAATAAGCCAGGCCCATAAAACAAAACAAAACAAAAAGCCCTGCATGACCCCAGTCATATGTGAAATGTGACTGCAGGAGCAGAGTGCAGGGTGGTAGTTGCCAGGGGCTGGACTGGAGGGATGTTGGTCAAAGGGTACGAATTCCAGTTAGGCAGGAGATAAATTATGCAATATGGTGGCTATACTTAACACACTGTATAATTAAAAATTACTAACAGAGAATTTTCTGGAGTCTCATTCTGTTGTCCAGGCTGGAGTGCCATGGTGCTAGCCCAGCTCAGTGCAACCCCAAACTCCTGGCTTCAAGTGATCCTCCTGCCTCAGCCTCCCAAGTACCTGGGACTACAGGCACCTGCCATAACACCCAGCTATTTTTTTTTCTATTTTTAATAAGAGATGGGGTCACTTGCTCAGGCTGGTCTTGAACTCCTGAGCTCAAGGGATCCTCTTTTTTCGGCCTCAAGAATGCTTGCACCTAGATGAAAATTACTAAGATACCAAGTGAAAATTACTAAGAAAGATTTTAAAATCTCTTAAGAAGGGCCAGGAGCGGTGGCTCACACCTGTAATCCTAGCCCACTGGGGAACCAAGGCAGGTGGATTGACTGAGCTCAGGAGATCAATACCAGCCTGAGCAAGAGTGAGACCCTGTCTCTAAAACATAGCCAGGCACTGTGGCAGGTGCCTGTAGTCCCAGCTACTTGGGAGGCTGAGGCAAGACAATCACTTAAGCCCAAGTGTGAGGTTGCTATGAGCCATGACACCATGGCACTCTATTCAGGGGGACAAAGTAAGACTCTGTCTCAATTAAAAAAAAAAAAAAACCCTTAAAAAATGGTAAGTATGTGAGCTAATGGATGTGGTAATTAGCTTGACTTAGCCTGTTCCACAAAGTATGCCTATATTAAAACATGGTGTATACCATAAATATCTTGAATTTTTGTCAATCTAAAAATGTTACTTAACAAATTTGAGCAAGTACAATAAAAGAAGCACTTTTGGATAAAGTGGGAAATTTGACCTGTACTTTACTCTTTTTTTTTCTTTCTTTTTTTGGAGACAAAATCTCACTCTGTTGCTGCAAGCTAGAGTTCTGTGGCATCATAGCTCACAGCAACCTTAAATTCCTGGGCCCAAGAAATCCTCCTGCCTCAGCCTCCTGAATAGCTGGGAATATAGGCACCTGTCACAGTGTACAGCTAATTCAGCTAATTTGCTAATTTTTCTATGGGGCAGGGGGTGTAGAGATGGAGTCTTGCTCTTGCTCAGCCTGGTCTCAAACTCAAGTGATCCACCTGCCTCATCCTCCCAGAGAGCTGGATTACAGGTATGAGCCACTGGGCCGGGCCCATTTATTCTAAAGGAGCTTAAAGACTAAACGGGAGTGTTTCTTCATTTTTTAAAAATAAAGTTGACTTATAAAACCCCAATAGCTCAGAAAGTGCAAGGACTATTGCTTTGGTCAAATAACAATTCCCCAGTGTCTAGCACAGTAACTGGCAGACAGGAGCTCCACCTTCTTGCTTGAGCACAGGAGTTTGAGAACAGCCTGGGGAACATAGTGAGACTCCATCTCTATGAAAGAATTTATTCATTCTGTTTTCTTTCTTTTTTATTTCCCCCAACAGGGCGTTGGTCTATTGCCCCAGTAGAGTCAGTGGTGTTATACAGCTTGTTGCAGCCTCAAACTTGTGGATCCTCCTATGTAGCTGGGACTATAGATATGGGTCCCCACACTTGGCTAATTTTTCTATTTTCGGTAGAGATGGGAGTCTTCCTCTTACTCAGGCTGGCCTTCAATGCTTGGCCTCAAGTAATCCTCCTGCTTCAGCCTCCCAAAGTGCTAGGATTACAGGCTTGAGCCATGATGCCTGGCCTCAGTTTCCTAATTAGAATTTTGAAAATGATAAATGAAGGCTAGGTGTGGTGTCTCAAGCCTGTAATCCCGCCCTCTGGGAGGCGAGGGTGGGTAGATTGCTTGAGCTCAAGAGTTTGAGACCAGCCTGAGCAAATACCTCATCTCACCAGATGAGCAATACCTCATCTCTAAAAAAACTTGTGGGTATTCTGGTGGGTGCCTGTAGTCCCAGGTACCCAGGAGGCTGAGACCAAAGGATCATGTCAGGAGGATGAGGCATGTGGATCACTTGAGCTCAGGAGTTTGAGGTTCCTGTGAGCTACGATGCAAGGGCAACTAAGACTGTCTATTTAATTCTATTTAAATTGTCTTGGACTATACAAAAACAAAAGATTTTAAATTCTCTTTATGAAACGAGTATAATATTGATATCAGTATCAAAATCTAACAAAGAGGATCAGTGCCCATAGCACAGTGGTTATGGCACCAGCCACATACACCGAGGCCGGTGGGTTCGAACCCAGCCCAGCCCAGCTGAACAACAATTATTGCAACCAAAAAACAGCCAGGTGTTGTGGTGGGCACCTGTAGCTCTAGCTACTTGGGAGGCTGAGGCAAGAGAATCACTTAAGCCCAAGAGTTTGAGGTTGCTGTGAGCTGTGATGCTACAGCACTCTACAGAGGCAACATAGTGAGACTCAGTCTCAAAAAAAAAATCTAACAAAAAACTACAGGCTTATCTTGTGAATACTTGTGAAATTCTTAAATAAAATATTAAAAAAGAATCTAGCACCTCAATAAAAGAACATCATATCATAATCAGGATATTCAATATGAGGAAGCCAATTAATATTATTTATCTTCCAAACAGATCTAAGGAGAAAAATTATAGGATCTTTTCTACTGCTCAACCATTTTTGCCAGAGATATTCAATAAGACTCCATGGATATTTTATGAACATGATTTCAAAAAGCACAGTGTATTATTTTCGGCCAAAATCAAGCATGCCATTTAACAGAGAAACACTGGAAGCATTATCACCAAAGCAGTGAACAGTGGATGTTGGCACAGAGGTAGTGTAAAAAGAACACTCCTACATTGTTGCTGGGAGGGCGATAAAGTACAACCTCTGTGGAAAACAGTACGGAAACGTCTCACATTTCCAAATGTCTAAAAGTAGACCCACCAATCAAGCCAGCAACTCCACTACTGGGCATCTACTCAAAGGAAAGAAGTCATATCAAAAAAGACACCTGTACCCATGTGTTTATCACAGCACAATTCACAATTACTAAGAATTAACTAAGTGCCGTTTAACTGACGACCAGATACAGAAGACACGGTATACATGTACCACAGGGTACTACTCAGCCATAAAAAAGAACGCAATAAAGTCTTCTGCAGCAATGTGGCTGAACTAAAGGCCATTATCTGGGGTCAGCGGTTCTCAACCTGTGGGTCACGACCCACAGGAACTGTATTAAAGGGCCGCGGCATTAGGAAGGTTGAGAACCACTGTCCTAAGTGAAGTAACTTAGAAGTGATCATCGAACATTCAACCAAATCCTACACGTTCTCACTTATAATGGGGAGCTAAGCTATTGGCAGGCATGGTGACTAATAAACAGACACTCAAAAAGGTGAGAACAGTTGGGGGTGAGGGATGAAAATTACCTAAGCCACCTGCGTGGGTACAATGTACACTGTTGGGTGACAGATACACTACAAGCCTGGACTTGAGCATCATACAATTCACCTTTGGAACACTATACCACTATAACTATGCACCCCCTAAATTTATTGAAATTAAAAAATAAAACCAAGAATTTCCACTAATACCATAACAATTTATTTATGACTAGTAGGGAAAAAAATAGTGATCTAAAAACTGAAGGGAGAATATAAAATTATTGCACATGATCAGATTTTATACCTGGAACTGAAAAGTACTATAAACGACAGGATGAATTCAGAATTGTCACAAGACACAATATTCATACCTAGTAATTAACAGCCTTCTTATATATAAACAAACGCTTTACACGATGGAAGGGAAGGCCTCACCTACAACAGTAACAAAAGGATAAAATGTCTAGATATAAACTTAAGAAATGTGTAAAAGCTTCATAAGGAAAATGATAAAGACAGGCCTGGGCAGAAACTGGTATTTCCAAAATGTTCATCAGATATCTGAACGTAAAAGCTGGGAGTGCCGGGGAGGCACCTGTTTCGCAAAAAACAGTGGCCTCCAGGTTTTGGACGGACTAGCAAATAGGTTTCAGAGCCAGCTGCCCAGTCTGTGGCAAGACTGCACCTACTCTTCACAGTCAGCGCTGTTGATACTATCTTGAGATGGAACTCAGCCAAGAATTACCCCGAGGGAGAAACGAGGTGTCTGCAAAAATAGAAACTATCGTCACTTGTTCCGCAGGTGCACAGGTGTGGCCTGGCACACCCTAAGGAGGGGAGCCAATGATCAGCTGAGGCCCAGAGTTTACTGGAGATAACAAACACCAAGAGGACCACTTTTTGTTTTTGTTCTTAGACAGAGTCTCACTCTGTGACCCTGGGTAGAGTGCCCTGGTGTCACAGCTCACAGCAACCTTCAACTCTTGGACTTGAGGAATCCTCCTGGCCTCAGTGTCCAGAGTAGATGGGCCACTATACCTGGCTAGTTATTGCCATGACCACTGTGAACTCCAAACTTCTTGAAAGTAGGATAAACCACTCATAGAGATGAAGGATATTATAGAGACAAAATGGGTCAGACTTGGCAGTGTGGTTGGGGCACAGCTTTTGAGCCTGGGTGACTGAACCAGAAGGGGCCAAGAGGCAGAGATGTTGGCAAGGGGCTGGGAATAGCCAGATGGCTGGAAAAGCAGTGTGGAGCTCAGGGACGAGGTCAGTCCCAGAGGCACAGGTCTGAGCACCCCCAGCACCTGGGAGGGAGGTCTTGAGACTTCCAATGCCGAGTGTGCAGGGCAATAAAGTAGAGGGCGACCACCTCCCAGCCCTGGCGAAGGCCAACATTCCATAGCACAAAGTGGGGAAAAGGACCCAAGAACAAGAGAAAATTAAAAACCAAGAGCAGAAAGTACAAACTCACAGAAGACACAGACTCTGCCTGCTCCTC